TCAAGCATATATTTAAAACAAATATGTAGCACACAATGAGCACACCTCGCAAAACGGTTCGAGAGATCTACTGAGCATAGGTCTTGCTATGATCTACAACAGTATACTATCCTAAATTAAATCAGAACATTGTTACAATCAGAGTAATATACTGAACAAAGTATTTAACATAGTTACAGAACTATACAAGTAATCACGGGCTCACGTGGTCGGACAGATCAAGAGCAGATGGGTCGAGCAGTCAAACGGTCGAAAGAATTACATGTACCTATCATAACCAAAGTCATAAATCAGTTCTTGCCCTTTCCTTATATTTCCTTAACCAATTTAGTTTAAAATAGTTATGCATGTTTGGGTTCGAAGGTTAATTTGGAGAGTTTTGGGTTAGAATTTGGCGAAACAAACTTTAAATTCAGACACATGACATCAAAAAACATAAAATAAGACTTTTCGAAAAATTTTAATTTTTTTTTATCAAAGTCAACTATTAATATTGGTCAAAGTCAAAGTCAATATGTCTAGTCAATGGTCAGGTTAACGGCCAAGTCAACAGTTTGGTTATAGTCAACGGTTCGATCAAAGTCAACGAGTTAGACCGATTTGAGTTAACCCAGGCTAGTCCGAGTTGACTTAATTCGATTCGAGTTAAATCAGATCGATTTCTAGAAGGATCTCGACAGGAAAGAAAGCCCACACGTAGTAGTGGTGCGTGACAGCTCTTTCGGTGATAACAGGGGCGGGGGAAGGCGGTCGATTAACTGGAATACTCTAAAACAACAAATCCAACTCAGATTATCTTAATAAATCAACCAAACTTCGATGAAAATTAAATTAAAACAACCAAAAGCTTATCCAACAATGGACGGTGAAAGATCGATGATGAAGTAACGACACCGGTTGGGTTTTGACCGAAAGGACTCAGGTATCTCAATGGTGGAGGCGGTGAGACGAATAGACGATCGATTTGGCTGAAAATCATCAAAACAACATCGGAGTTTTTTTTTTGTTTTCTAACGAAACTTTCGTAGAGCTCTTCAATGTGAATGATGATATATCTCTACGAGTGGAGAGCAAGACTTGGATTGGAACGAGGCGGTGCTTCTTCTGGCTTGGGCTGTGACAGTTTCCGACTAACAGTGGTTAAGATCGATGACAAGTTAATCGAACACTCTTTTCACGGCTTAGGACAAACGACGGGTGATGTCGATGATTTGAGGGTTTTGGGGTTTGGTCGGGGAACAAAGCTGGTGCTAACAGTGGTGGCGGTACACGCCACCACTAGTCGAAGGTTGGTGAACGGCGGGGCAGAGGCTTGGGTGATGAAGGGGTTTTGGGGTTGAATTCTCTGCATGGTTTTCAGAACCGGACCGGTTAGCGAACCGGCCATGTTACCGGTTCACTGGTTCAACCGGTCGAACCGGTCCGACCGGTCGGAAGAACCGGACGACGTCATAATTATTTAAAAAATTAAATAAAAATACCAAAAATATTTAATAAAAATAATTTTTTATATCACAAGTCATATTCAAAGCAAGTCATAACATATATAAATTAAAAACCATAAAATCAAGTGAAACAAAATGATTCAAATTAACTACAACATAATATTTAAGGTAAAACATATTAAATAATAAATATAGTTATATAACTATAATTAAAAAATAAATTTGGGGTTAAAAAATCATAACAAAATGATATTGTTTGGTTTAATTTTTTTAAAAAAAAAACAATATCACATGGCTAAGAAAGATAGAAGAGCATCCCAAAAGTCTAAAGAGTAAAAATATGAGAAAAACAATCCCACATTTCTAAGAAACATAGAAGAGCATCACAACTAACTTCTATAAATAATGGAGGTAATTTGACATTCAAAATCATTGAGCCTTTTGGTGAGCATTGAGTGAACTATTCTTTCACTTCAATCAAACTCGAATTTTTAGCTTCAATTGAGTTTCTAATTTTTTTTTAGTTCAAGCATTTTTGAGTTCAAGTTTCAATATTATATTTCGAGTTCGAGTTGAACTTTATAATTTTTAACTTGTGAGTTTGAGTGGAGTTGAGCTTACTTTTAAAGTTTTCAAGTTCGAGTCGAGCTCAGCAATACTCGAGTTCGACTTGGCTCGTTTAACAAATGACGTTTGGTTTAATTTTTTAAAAAAAACAAAATTTCCGATTTTTTTTTGTTTTCAGCCGGTCCGATTCGAACGGTTCAACAGTTCTGACCGATTCACTAGTAGCGATTCAATCGATTTAGATTAAACCGGACTAGGCGACGATTTCCAATTAAACCGGTTAAACCGGCCGATCTGGTCTGATTTTCAAAACAATGGTTCTCTTAAACTTGTTTTTTCACGGGAGAAAGTTGATCTAAGTGCCTAAAGATTGGGTTGGTTGTAGGATAAAGTAAAATTTTATTATTATTATTAAACATCAACTATAGTAATTTAGCCTAGATGGCTAAGGCTTAGGGTGAAGATTCAAGAAGACTTGGGTTTAAAACCCATAAACCACAAGTTTTATTTATTAAAAAAACAATTGAGATACTGCGGGGAAAAGGATGGCGATTTTCCTCAAAAATCACCTTTAAAAACTTTATTTTCTTGTTAGACACTATTTCAACTTTATTTTTCGATCTAACACCCTTTGCAAGAAGGAGCGACCCATGTACCGCGCCTTACGATAATCCGACGCCACGTGTGGTAAGGCGCGGCCCATGCACCGCGCCTTATCTTGACATGGTGACACGTTGGGCAAGGCGCGGTGCATGGACTGCGCCTTCTGCCACGTAGGGGTACAACGTGGTGCATGGGTCGTGCATTCCTGCAATTATGACAAGCCTCAGAATGGCACGGTGCATGGGTCGCGCCTTGTATAATTGCAACCGCACTTCTTAGGTTCAAAGCGTCTCCTCTCGGCTATAAATACCCCTCACCCCGTAAACATTCTCACAACTTCCTCTCAACCAAAAAACTAATACAATAATCCTCTCAACCAGTAAATAATACACGAAAATCCTCTTATATTTGATTCAGAAGTTCGTTCGATCTTTCGTTATAAGGTAAATTTTTTATAATATTTTTTATAATTATATATAATTATTTGAAAAAAATATTATACTAATTGTTTTCAATTAATTTTTGTGGTTGTAAAATTGGAAAGCGAGAGCATACGTCGAAATATTTTTGCCCATACGGTAATAATATAAAATTATATTATTTAAATTATTTACGTTTTTGTGTAAAAATTTTATTTCCTTATATTTTAATTCATATATTATTTATTTAATTAGGCTTGTTTCAGGTTTATTTTTTGCAGATATAGGATTGTCTCACTTTCAAACTCTAAGAATGACGTGAATTTCAACTATTGTTTATTATGATGGAGAAATTTGGGAAGATGAAACCGGCATTGTTTTCGTATCAAATCATTATGTTAAAATATTCTTCAAGAGAAACATAACTCTTGAGGAGCTGATAACAAAGATTTCAAAGAAAGTTCATGTTGGAAATACTAGATAATCCTGGCACAAAGTATGCATCTAACCAATTTAACGGTATCCGACCACCGTTAAAATTTCGCGGGACACCTCCTAGATAATCCTGGCATAAAGTAGTCCAGTTACCGTGCACCATCCCTGAAATCACATCTCCATCCACCGGAAGTCCCAAGTGCATAAAAACATCCTCAAGCGTAATCGTGCACTCTCCGCACGGAAGATGAAATGTGTGGGTCTCCGGCCTCCACCGCTCCACTAATGCAGAAATCAGGTTTGGTTCTATCTTACAATGACCTTCATATCTTGCTATGTGACCTGATCCAACCTCGACTAAATAAGGCCAGACACGGATAGGTATCGCTAACTTAAGGTTTCTAATAAAAGGATCTAATATACGGTCGCTCTCCTAAAATATTAATATTTACAAAAATTAATTTATAAACTAGTAATCATGCATTAAATAAATAAATTATTACTAATAATTTAAATTAAATTAAAATATAAAAATATTATTGTATCTACATAATGACTCGATATATGATTTCTATCCAAACGAAGCAGACCGTTTTCCATTTTATAATTGCACAAAAAAATTAATTAAATAAAATATTAAAATAATTAAATAATTAAATAAAATACTAATAAAATATTAAATATAATAAAATATACCTTAAGTTGAGAGGATTTGAGAGAAGTTGAGAGGATTTGGTATGATGAAAATGATTGAGAATAGAAGTATTTATAGGGGTGGGATGGGGTGTGAACGGTCGGGTGGTTGGGAAATTAATGGAAGGCGCGGCCCATGCACCGCGCTATCCTGACACGTGTCAGACTGTCAGGAAGGCGCGGTCTATGCACCGCGCTATACCCCTACGTGGCAGAAGGCGCGACCCATGCACCGCACCTTGCCCAACGTGTCACCATGTCAGCATAAGGCGCTGTGCATAGGCCGCACCTTACCACACGTGTCATCAGATCAACGTAAGGCGTGATGCATGGGGCGTACCTTCCTACAAATGATGTTAGATCGGGAAATAAAGTCGAAGGAATGTCTAAAAGGAAAATAAAGTTTTTAAGGGTGATTTTTTGAGAAATTCGCCGAAAATGATTGAAGGGAAAAAGTGGAAAGGACATATTTTCCCTTTTGGGGCAGTGAGAATAGAAGGTGAGTTGGGTTGGAGCATAGTGTTGCGAACGAAAACCATCCTCCTCACAAACAGGAAAGTTGAGATTCCATGTTATCAACTCACATTTTCTTCCGTGAGCTGTATCCAATTATCAAAATTATTGGTCTCCAAATAAATGAACCAAAACGGCATGAATTTTGTGATACTTCTGATCCCAGAGAATAGAAAGTTCCCCAAATCATTTGGAAAAATTTAAAGACATAAAAATCAACAATTTACGTTTTTTTACAAGTTCCGTGAGAATAGAAACTGCCGTTAACCTTCTTGTTTATATGGAAATGTGTGCTTAGAAGGAAGGAGTTGCTTACACAATTCTGACACGCGCCAATTATAGAGCATTGGTTCTTTGGGAAATTATAAAAAATTGTTTAAAAAATGGAAACCCCAGATTTTGAATAATTAACAAAAGAAAGTTGTTTATTTAGCTGCTATAAATTCAGTAGTCCCTACCTTGTGAAACCATACGTATCTGAAGAACACGAGGAAGTTGAAGAGAGAGACAAACATGATACCTGAAGCCAGAAATGAGGCGGAGGACTATATGTTAACTGTTGAAGTTCCTGAAACTGCCCATGCTGTTAGCACTGGTACATAAAAATTATACATTTTCTACGTAAAAGATCCTTCCTTTTTTTTTTTTTAACTCTGGGTTTTTCTATTTGTGTTTTGCTTCATTCTATTTTTTTGGTTATGAGAAATTTGTGTAGTTTGAAATCTGGGATCTTGTGTTTTCTTATTTTCTGCAAGCTGCAAAGTGAAGAGTGGTTTGTTTGATATTCTGATGCCACAAGAATATTATCTTTTTTTATAATTGTTTTTGTCTCAAGGGATTTGTATTGCATTCTTTCACAGCAAAACATTTTTTTTCCTACTGATACTTTGTTTTTCATGTTCTGTTTGTATATTCGAGTGTCAGTGCCATGTCCAAAATCATTAGATTTACTATTGTTGGAATTAAGCTCTTCAATGGCTTTTGATTTTTTTTTTTTCTCTAAGAAGCTGAACAAATATAGAAGAATTACTTTCGTAGTTCTGTGATATTGTTCTACTCTGATTGGAATATTTCAAAAATAGTGACATAAGAAGGAATCATTCTGTTGGGGGTGAGTTTTCTGTCTCATGATGTTCCATTTTCCATTTGAGCTCATTAGACCAATTTTCTTTTTACAGATTCATGGCTCCAGGCAAGTTTTGTCTTAACCACTGGTGTCAACAGTGTATTTGTCTTGGGATATTCCGGGACAATCATGGTTCCTCTCGGCTGGATAGGAGGCATAGTCGGTTTAATGTTAGCCACTATTGTGTCGTTGAATGCGAACATTCTTGTCGCCAAGCTCCATGAGCATGGAGGAAAGAGGCATATCAGATACAGAGATCTGGCAGCACAGATATATGGTACAAGGCTCGAGTAAAACGAATACGAAAATGCAGAATCTTATTTTGTATAAGATCTTCATGTTTATTTTATGCTTGATGAACACAGGTAGGAGAGCCTATACTATTACATTGGCAACGCAATATGTTAATCTGTTTATGATTAACATTGGATTTCTCATCCTGGGTGGTTCTGCTTTAAAGGTAAGACCAGATTGTTTAAATACACCTTACTTTCCCTGACAAATCTACATTTTGAGTTCAAGATAGTTGTTACAAACGGTTTCAGAATATCCCGAACACGATCTTGGCATTTCTGACATCTTTCTATGCTTATCCACTCCATGAATAAGGACTCGGTTTGTCAATTTACATGAAGGTTCATATGGATATCAGTCGTCCTGAAATCTTTAACATGTGAATATGTAATGCAGGCTTGTTTTGCTGTTTTCAATTACGAGCACACCATGAAACTTCCTTACTGTATTGCGATAACCGGGTTTGCTTGTGCTTTGTTTGCCATATCGATACCACATCTGTCAGCTTTAAGAGTATGGTTGGGATGTTCAACAGTTCTTGGCCTGATATATATCATCGTGGCATGTGTGCTTGCAGCTAAAGACGGTAAGTTCTAATATATGATATTCGCGCTGTTCAGTTTTCCTTTTATCAAAAGTTTCATTTAATAATCTCAGACTGATTGAACCTCAAATGAAAGTGCAGATTGAATCCTTAATAAATCAAAATTTCCCTCTGTATTTTCTTGTAAAGAATGAGCCTTAATGTAGATTGAAACCTAATCAAAGAGCAATCTTGCTTCACGATGTTCAAGCCTCGGATGATTTCTGGCGTGATGTTCGGGAAAAAAACATAAGGTCTTTCCAAGAGTTTAAGCAATGCTAACCTTTTACCCTATTTAGGTCAGCCTGACCATGTGGGAACCTCTATGTTGGCTGTTACTTGCCAGGAAAGGGACTATTGGCTCGACCGAGAGTTAAGGCATTCGCGTGTTTTCCGTTAGCTACCTTGAACTTGAAGCTTGTCACTTTAGAGCTTTATATTATGTATCTGAACATTGCAGTCAAAACCTTAAGAAGTTTTTGAGCCATCATATGCATGAAACTAAATAGATCCTTGCCTGTTGTCTGTAGAATAAACCGCACTGCTTAGCTCCTGCAACATTGAAGGAACTTTGCTCGATTTTCCGATAAGGCTGTTAGCTCCCTGGATTCACGTGGCTGGTGTTAATATCATTCAGATTCACTTGATTTTTATTCGGAACCCTGATGTACTCCTTTTTGTCCTCATTTTTTCCTTCATTTATGTGACAATAACGATTCCAATGCTGTTATAGGAATTAATGCACCTCCCCGAGATTATAGGATACATGGGAAATCAAGTAGCAGAATTTTTACAACTATAGGAGCATCTGCAAATCTTGTGTTTGCATTCAATACTGGAATGTTACCAGAAATACAGGTAGGCCAGACTATCTTAATGATTACAAGTTCATCCCTCCGATGCTGGTAATAAAAACGTCTAAACTTCTTCCTTTAACACCATTAATTAGTGTTTATATCAAGGCTCTATATATAGAACTTCATGTTTGCTTCGACAGACATCGGTCCCAGCTCAGCCATACTGATCCATCCGTTTCTGTTTCGGTCTAGAGGATGTGTCTTGAAAGTCAAGGAAAGATGGGTGGGATAGGGTGGCACCTAGATTTAAATCTTATTCATTCCGAATATTTCGTATAGAATTCGTCGAAATCGATGTTTCCTATTCATTGAAATCTGGTTACTTCAACTATAAGACATAGGTTGAATTTGTAGCCATGTTGCATACTTGCATTCTTTCCCCTTTTTTTCTCTGCTTCTGATACATTGTTCCTCACAAAAGGCAACAGTGAGGGAGCCTGCAGTGAGGAACATGCTGAAAGCTTTGTACTTTCAGTTCACCGTCGGAGTGGTACCGATGTTTGCCATTACCTTTATTGGCTACTGGGCTTATGGAGCGGAAACATCCACATATTTGCTTAACAGTGTAAGCGGTCCACTTTGGATTAAGGCCTCTGCCAACATATCCGCCTTCCTGCAATCCATCATTTGTTTGCACGTAAGTATGTTCTACTTGTTTGTACCATCAACCACTTGTATCATTGTTCCACGAATCTGATGTGTTCATCTGCCGCCTGCCGTTAGATATTCGCGAGTCCGACTTACGAGTACTTGGACACCAAGTTCGGTATCAGAGGAAGCGCGCTGCAGCTCAACAACTTGTCCTTTGTGGATTCCAAACAATATCATGTGTTTGCTGATCTGTGATCAACTACTAGAGGCCTAGAGAAATACCCAAAATCAAATGATAGAAACCCGATTCGAGTGTAATGTTCGTTTCGGTTTTGATCAACAGTGGCAGCTTTAAGGCTCATAGCTTTTGAGTTTGGTTTGATTTCTAAAAGATGAGATTATTCTGCCTTTTTGTTTCTCAAAACCTTGTGCACAAGTCCTGCCCTAACAACTTATTACATATCCGTTAGGGAACAAACCTATTCTACTATTGTGTGTGAGAATTAAATTCAGAAATCGAAATCTTAAACACGTATACTTCAATAAAATAACAATAGATTGATCTAACGGGAGAGATTAAATTTAATATATTTTTATACAAATATTTAGGAGAGAATATAAGAAAGGTGGTTGTAATGGTAGTGAAAGAGATGAGAGAGAGGATGATGACAATGACGAGTAGGAAGGTGGAGAAAGAAACGAGAATGAAGGAAAAAAGAGTGGAATATAAGAAGGAATCAAATATTGCCACAAGGTGGAGGGATGATGATAAATTATGAAAAATAAGTAATTTGGGAAAATATTAAATTGATAAGTTTTTTAATTCTTTAAATATGAACAATTAGGTTTATTAAATTATTTTAAAATAAAATTGATAGAATATATAACTAAAATTGTTATTATATCAAACCTCACCATACGTCGGTTTCATTTTAATTGGAGTGAATTGGTTGCAATAAAATTTTAATTGAGTAACTTGATTATAAAAGTGTTTGAAACTAGGCGAGCTATTTCTAACCTGACTAATAATATAGTGACTAAAGTGTATTTTACCCTCTGTTCTTTAACTAAATCTCTGCACCCAATCATGGGACTTCTCACCTTGACTAGGTTATGTCATTCGGGCCAGGTAGTTTCTACCCAGTCAATGAGTAGGTATAATACAACTCTCAAATTAGATTAGACTGGCAATGGGAGTTGCATTATGTCTTATTATGCAGCATCTTGTCTTATATTTCTTTTATTCTCAACAATTTGGTTAATTATAAAATAATATTTTATCATAATTTTTTTAATTATTGATAAAACACATCCTGTAAATACAGTTGTTTCAACTTAAGATCTCTAAAAAGAATAACAATTTATTTTATCACTTAATGAATTTCTTTTTTTTAAAAAAAAACTCTACTAACATTTTGTATATGTTACATATTTATTTGTTACATTTTATGTAGGTGGGGAGTTTAATAGACAATAAATTCAAGGTTGTTCTAATAAGACTTGTTAAAACTAGTACCATGATTAATTAACATTAAATATTTTATGTAACCTTTAATTTATTAGATAAACGTGTTGGTTTAGACATTATGTTCTCCAAAGAATATCTTTAGGTATAATTGAAACAATTTGAGACATGGTGAGATTTTATGATTATAGATATACGGTAACATTTTTTAATTTTTGAACCAAATATTTTGAGTTCGATGATTGACAAATATTTTTGAGGATTAAAATATTCATATGAACTATACAAAAATTTATCTAATTTAATTAAATTTATTAGACTAAATGATGGTTCAACTCAAGATTAAATAAAAAATGAAAATAAAAGCTTAAATACCAAATTGTAAAGAATCTAAAAGTTTTACATTACGATTTGCCTAAATGATAGGTTAGATGGAAATTGATGGAACTTGAGAGACACGTGTCAAGATGGTAGAAAATGGAATAATCGTAAGTATTTTGGAATTTTCCCAAATGAGTTTATGTAAATACAAGAAGAGTAAAATCACTAATTATATTAAAAAATAATAAATTAAAATAATTGAAACAATTAATCACGGAGAGCTTTAATTTTCTTTTATTAATTTGAAATAAATATAAAAATAAATTTATTTAAATAATTTTAATCATTTGATATTAAACATTTATATTAATATTACAAGTTGTATTTGATTTACTTGATTAAATTATATATATGTTTAAATGAAATAAAAAAACAAAGATTTAATGGTTATAAATGAATTGAACATGCATGCTCGTTCCATTTAATGAAAGAACTTCAAAATATTAGTATTTATTTTATTTAATAAACAAAAAAAACTGAATTATTAATGAAGTATTCATCAGTTCATTGACAACATATGCATTTTCCACCATTAACATTGACCTTTGGAGTTTACCTGAAAAGAAATAAAGAACAACTAAATTAAAAGCAACTACTCCCGAACTTCAATAACCAAATTAATTAGTTAACACGAGTTCTGCTTTAATATCATTCTTCTTTCTTCTTCTTCTAACATCAGAGAAATTTATAGCAGCCACATTCTCAAAAAGAAGATTCCCTAAGTCAAAATTCTAGTTTTTCTTTTCTCTGGGATTCCTTGATCATGTAATGAGAAACTTGAATCAGATCCATGGAAGTTAATTCCATCGAATCATCCCAAAACAATCCGCCCCCCCTCAAAATAACCCATAAGGCCATAATTCCCCCTCTTCCTCCTTGATCCTGTTATAGTATCGTTCTAAGGAACGATAAACATCGTAAAGAGAACAAGATTGAAGAGTGAAGAGTGAAGAGTGAAGAGTTAAGAAGGAAAACTTCATTCATTTCATGATGATCTTTCTCAATTATGAAGGGATGTATTTATACAATTGACTAGAACAACCCAAGAAGCTTAACTGCTCATAACCATCTTAACTAACACTCAACAACCTAACTAACACGTGAAAGATTGGTTAAAACCAACCCAGCTCTAGCTCATACACCAACATTCCCCCTACTTTACAACTGACTTTCCTCAGGCCCTTAAACACAAGCAATACATGCAAGAGCATGCACCAACATTCTCCCTACAACAAACTCTCCTACCACTAAGAACGTCATAAACTCATTCATCACACTTCTCAACCGTTGAAGCCACAAATTTGCCTTGAATTTATGAGACAAGCAATCATTGCCTATGTTTAAGAAACGTTGGAGCAGACAACGGCTTGGTTAGAACATCAGCAACCTATTCAAAGGCAGGTACCTCTTGAACCGATAGCTTGCCAGCAGCTACCATTTCCCTAACAAAAAACAGGTCAAGTTCAACATGTTTGAACTTGGAATGCAAGATTGGATTTGTACAGACAGCTACAGCACTGGAATTATCACACCACAAGACAGGTTTCCCATGAATGGACACCCGCAGCTCACCCAATAGTGATTCAAGCCATACCATCTCCGTAGCAGCACATGTAACACTCCGATACTCAGCCTCTACCGTAGACCGAGCGACTACTTGTTGTTTACGAGAGCTCCAGGAAACCAAATTTTCACCAAAGTAGATATAATAACCTGAGGTCGATCGTCTGTCTGCATCTGACCCCCAGTCCGCATCAGCAAAGCCTGTTAAAGACAATCGTGATGAAGTAAAAAAACGAAGACCAAAATCAGCAGTAGCTTGCAGATACCTCTGTATCCGTTTCACTGCCTGAAGATGAACATCACATGGTGCTTGCATGAACCGACATACCTTATTCACAGCAAAGACAATGTCTGGTCGCGTGATAACGATGTACTGCAAAGCACCAACAGTACTCCTATAATGAGCTGCATCCTCAACTAGTATTCCAATGTCAACCGCCACCTTGCAATTAGTGACCATTGGTGTAGGAAGACCCTTAGCATCTTCCAGCCCACTTTTAAACAACAAATCACGTATATACTTTTGCTAACTCAAGATAATCTCATCAGCTTCTCGACACACTTTATTTCCCAGAGGAAAAACTCAAGACCCCAAGATCCTTTAGTGCAAACTGCTTGTTAAAACTATCAATCATACCTTGCACTTCCTCTTCACAGCTACCCGTGATGATGATATCATCTACATACACTAGTAGATACATGATGCTGTTAGTAGTTTCCCTAACAAACAGTGAAGCATCAGATTTTGCTAACACAAAATTCTGAGTCACTAAAAGCTCCTTTAGCCTCTCAAACCACGCTAGATGTGCTTGCTTTAGCCCATAAATGGCTTTGTTAAGCTTGCAAACCAAACTTCCATCACCTTCTTCATAGCCAGGTGGTTGTGCCATATATACCTCCTCAGTTAGAACTCCATTGAGGAAGGTGTTATTTATATCAACTTACCTTAACTGCCATCCCTTAGCCAGTGCAAGTGAAAGCACAACCCGAACTCTTGCTGGCTTGACCACAGGACTAAAGACTTCATGGTAATTGATACCTGGCTGTTGTAAAAAACCCTTAGCTACAAGTCGAGCCTTGTACCTTGCTATGGATCCATCAGCATTTCGTTTGATTTTGAAAATCCACTTACAGTTCACTACTTTCCTTCCACTCGGGAGAGGAACAAGCATCCAGGTGTTGTTCTTCACCAATACATCAAACTCCGTTTGAGCAGTAGCTCTCTACTCAAGACTTCTCATGGCTTCTCGAATGGTCCTCGGTTCTTTATCTAAGCAAGCCACCTAGAATACGTTGGGCTTCCAAATCCCATTTTTGCTTCGAGTCACCATGGGATGAACATTGGATTGTTCAACATCAGCCTGAGATTCTATACATGTGACAGCACTGGGAATTGACTCATTTATAACAGCATCATTATCATCATTCAAAGCGGCTGGAACACATAACTCATGTACACCATTGGTTATCTCTTCACCATAAGCCATAGCAGGTACAACTGAACTATTACCTGCACATACATTCTCCTCAGTGTATGTTGCATGTGACGAACCAGCCAGGCATAAGTCAGAGTCACGATTATGGCTATGTACTGGATTAGGCACAACCTCCACGCACCTTCTAGGTTGAACATTGTGTAACTCTTCAGAAGATTGTACTACAAGCAGAAAATTAGTTGAGATGACAGTGCCACAATTTGACCGACCTTCTTCTTTCTTACTAGCATAAGGAAAGACTCCTTCGTCAAACACAACATGTCTAGAAATGAAGACTCTCCCACTATCATCTAAACATTTGTATCCTTTATATAAAGGAC